TCTTCAAGCTCTTTCAGCTGCGCTTTTTTCTTCTGCACAACTTCACTCTGCTCCACAGCCTCTTCAATCCATTTCTTTAGCTCATCAAGTGAAACTCCCAACTCGTCCTCCAGACTGGGGTCCCAGGTATCAACCTCCATTCTGAGGAGAGAACAGATAAAACACAATTATCAATTTTATGTCTTTTAGCGAATAGAATGCATTCTTAGCTGCTGGGCTTATAGGATTACTGGATGATCCAACAAAGTTATAAAAGCACAAATAATGTATTCCTTTGGTGGAAGGACCTCTCTGTCTCGATACGTTTTTTTAAATAATTTCTCATATCCACTAACAACACCAATTTCTAGTAATTCTAACATTTTTGTTAGTTATTGTGCCTCTAACAAATATTATCTCCCAACCCGATGTTTCTTAATGTTATTTTGGCTCTCCTGTTATGAAAAAAAGTTTTAAAATGCTTGTGGTTGCCGATTTTAGAAAAAAAAAAAAAACAATTACTGAAACTGTAGCAGACAGTATTCAATAGTTTCCAAATCCTTACACGTTTTCAATATTTAAAATTTCTCACATTCGTCAAGACTGATTGGGGAATAGATGGAAAATTAAGAAATAACTTGTAATGTGAACATATCCAGGGTCACCCTTGAAACTGTTCTGTGATCCGAAGAATGCCCAAGCATGAACTGCTTTAACTTTTTATGTTTAGTTAGTAACAGTAATTAAGACCAGAATAAACAGTAATAAACGTCTACACAAAGAAAATTGAATTAAATTATTTGGCCAGTCTTCATCTTTAGACAAAAAATAAAAAATCAGCATACAAAACAATATATTTGAGGGAATTACTAATTCAATAAAATTTCAAATATATTATATTGATAACTTTTACAATGGTGATTATTTTGATAGCCGTAGGGCGTAGGTTTGATCTCAACCTTGGTAGGGACACTAGTGGTCTTAAGTTAAATTGGTCTGATGTCATAGGTCCTACACATTATGCATGCTCCTATTTTTTTATGCTTGACGTGAGCATCAGGGCACATTCGTTTAAAGAGAAAATAGCCTTTTTTACTACATTTATACAAATTTTATAAGCACTACACACACAAGATTCTGTTAATCAATGTTTGAAGCGTCAGTGGCTCAGAATAATGTAAAATTGGGACAACTTAATACTTTGAAAAGGGTAACATTTAACAGTAAATATGTGCCTTTTTAAGCAAATATAATCTAAATATGTCTGTGCGGATTTATCCTGTGTTTTCTTTTGAAGAAATAGAATTGTGCAGAGGTAAACAGAGGTAAAACCTACTCTTATTATTTTTATCTGATATGCTGATATTCTCTATATTGTAAAGCAAAGCAAAATAACATATCCAAGGGACTCCAAATAGATTTATTGTATTTCCATGGGTGCGGGAACTATAAGAGTAACTGACACTGAGCGTTTAAAATATGAACTTCAATATACAAGTTGTCAGAAAAGAAGCGACTGCTGCAACAACACTGTATTGTAAATAGGCTTGTCCCGATCCGATACGTGGATCGGATCGGGACGCCGATATTGGCAAAAAAATGCGTATCGGCAAAGCATGTAAAATGCCGATCCAGACTGCCGATCCAGTTTTTAAAAAAAAATCCGGTCCGTATTTTCCAGTTTCTCCGATTAAAACGATCCATTCCACTATTTTGCGCCAGTGTTTCACTGTTTTGCATTTTTATTAAAACTTACAGTAATACTTGCACCTTTAACTGTTTACGGTTTTACTGTTCACTGTGCAATTTCAGATTGCTATTCATAATTTTGTCCAGTTTGTGTTTATCTCTTAATAAACAGGTAAGTTTGTTGTTACCAAGCATTGTGTTTTATTCAATCTCACCTAATTTAGCTGGCTAGATGTTATCAAGAGTACTAAAAACCTTTTCAACATAAGTCTTACAACTAAGGCTAAATACTTTAACTTAAACTTAAACACATGCTCGGATAGGCTGGTATCGGCCAGTATCGGTATCGGATCGGAAGTCCAAAAACAATATCGGTATCGGATCGGAAGTGCAAAAGCCTGGATCGGGACATCTCTAATTGTAAACTATAAACATGTTATTCAAATAGAATTATTGGTAGAGACATGTCCCTATGGTCCCTATTCAAACCTACGCCCATGGCTGTAGGCAGGAAGGGTCTTCTGTTGTAGTCTCTTTGCCTGAAGACTGTTGATGTCCAACAGTCCTCTGAAGAGGAGGTTGACCACACTGAAATTCATATTATGTAAATGTTTTATCTGAAAAATCATCAGCAGACATTCAGGCCAAAATCATCTACAATAGCAGACGAAATAAAATACAGAATTTAATTGTAATTCCTTGCTTCTTTGTAAGTATCCAAAATCCTCAATTTAAAGTGGAAAAGCGTGCTCTATAGGAACACAAATAAGAACAGACCATGAAAGCTCAATAAAAAAAGCTCCTAACAGTGATTTCTCTTTGGGACATCCTCCAGATATTATTAACTAACATATTGTGAGCATTCACAGTAAAGGATGCAGCAAATCCCATAACAAGCTGCATGTTTTGCACTCATCAGCTGCCTGTGAATAACGGTTGGAGACTCGCTAATTAATGGAAACAACAGAAAAAATGATGAAAAGTGAAGAAACAGGCGCGATCAGTTTGGGTTCACGAGACAACTAGTCTTTAGCTTCTTAATATCTGAGTACAATAAAAAATAACAAAAAAAAAAGTGTACGAGGGGAAAGCAGGAATGTATTTTGCACAGTATTCCATTCATAAAATACAAAATGCAAGGACTTGCAAAGTTACTCAAAGCGAGTGTTTTCAGTTTAAAAACGCATAGCTTCATCTGGTTTTTATTAAGCAGGTAACAAGATGCAAGTGCATGCTAGCGGGTAATGCTAGCATGGGCAGCAGAAACATTTAGGACTGAATGAAAGAGCAAACTGCAAAATAAACAACCAATAGTTTAAAGCTGTTGTCGGAGAGGCGACTTACTCTTAACCCAGCTAATGTGAGACCTATAAAAACACTCACCCCTCACCGCTCTCCATCCCGTCTATTGCAAATATAAGGCTAACTTGCTGCTACGGCTAACGGCTGGCTACAAAGAGAAGCGCGTGCTGCGGATACCGGGGTATTCCAGGCGGGCGGTGCATATATTGATTGATTTTCACAATGCTTTTTTTCCCCCCTGGTATTTGAATAAAATTATTCAAATAATAATAAAATTATTCAAATAACAGAAACACCTTTAAATCATATAGACTAGGAATTTATTTACTAAAGTACTTTAGTAAACAAATTCCTAGTCTATATGATTTAAAGGTGTTTCTGTCTTCACCCTAATCTGTTGGTCCCTTTAGAAATTCTCTATTAGACTGAGTCTGTTACTACTCTGACTACTACTGCAAAGTGTTATTAGTACTTCCAGTTAAAATAAACATACTATAAAAAAAAATAAAAAAAAACTTTAAATATAAATCTGCCATAGATTTGAATACTTCTTGACATAAATGCGTTTATATATCCTCTAAAACTTTGAAAATAATAAAATAATGATGTATAACTATTGATTATACTTGTAATAATATGTAACAATGTAATAACAAGAACATAAAACATAAGACAAGCTTTTAGGTTTTCACTTTTCAAAAAACACTAACTTTACCATCTATTGGTTTTGAAGGCATAATTTACTTATTTACCAAAAAAAAAAAAAAACTGTAAGGAAAAGTCAAGCCAGATAATTGTGAATCCTTATTGTTGTTTGTATCTTGAAGCTTTTGGGAGGTGAATTCATGTTTGAAGGCAGTTTAACTATTTATGATATAAACACAGTGATCCTTAGGTGCAAAACAACAAAACAAATCACAAAGCAAAAATAATGTTTGATTACCAAAAGATGGATTTAATAAAAAAAAATTTTTTTTTTTTTGGAGGATTTTTCTTCAGATGTGACCCTCCTGTCTGAATATATGTAGCATCCCTTTATTTAAAGATGCAGAAGTATCAGCCAAATGGAAACAAATAGACATATCCCAAATACAAATAAAAACCAGGCTTGGGGGAAAAAGAGAGAATAAGTAAAACCTCAGAAAACACAATTTTCAAAGAAACTCTTAAAATATGGTATGAGATACTTAAAAAATACAAATCAGAAGGGGATAGTAAACTATTAATGTGGCCCTCTTAGTCAACGAGATTCAAACCAAAAGACTTGGATGGCACATTTATAGATTGGAGGAGAAAGGGGACAACAGCTATCTGCACACTAGTAGAAGGCAAAACATTTAAAACATTCAATAAAATCAGAAGAGAGTTTGAACTGAATAACAGATTTTTTTTCAGATACCTACAGCTAAGACACTTCTATACCAATGAGGTAGAGAAAGAATTATCGCCGGAAGGAAATTTGTTGATTCAATTCTTTGTAGATGCATACACGAAAACCCCAACAAAAGTTGTATCTAAGCTATATAAAAGCTTACAAAAAGTCCAAATAGGAGTAAAAAGTGAAACTGTCAAAGAGTGACTGGCTTTCAATGTGCAAAACTCAACACTCCTCCACAAGCCCTAGAGGCTGGAGGGAATTTGGATGTAAAAATTTAATACGCTACTTCATAACGCCTCAATTACAAAATAGATTATTCCATACTCAACAACAATGTTGGAGACAATATGGATAGATGAATGCCAGTCACTCTCATATATTTTGGCAATGTACAAAAAATACAAATCTACTGGGATCAAGTTGTTCAGGCTATAGAAGAAATAATAGGATACAAGATACACAAGGACCCACGAATTATGTACTTGGGCTGGCTGGAGAGGGAAGGGATACACAGGAAAGACATCTATGTCCTCAAAATCTTGATAGTGGCAGCTAAAAAGGCAATTACCAGAAAATTGTTAATAAGTGACTCTGCACACCTGACGCAAAGGATATTAATAGTAGAGGAAATCTTCACAATGGAGGAAATGAACTATAAGCTGAGGATCAAGTACAAACACCTGAAACAACACTGGAGAAAGAGGTTTGATTACAAAAATCGGAAAGGCCTTACCCTCAATAAGACTGGAACGACATACAAACCTTTTTAGGACCTCACTAAACTTAGATTCTGTTATACCTTTGCTGTATTTTTTTCGCCCCCTTCCCTGTTCAGATTTCTTTTGTGTTTTATGCAAAATTGAAAAATACTAAATAAAAAGTTTTTTAAAAGATGCAGAAGTATCCTCAACTCTGTAACATCCCAAAAAGATGAAGCCTGATGTCTCCTTAGCATTCAGACTATCTCACCAAGTATTCCATGTTATTCTTTTGTTTTTCTCATTCCTCTGTTTCCTCCTCCTGCTCCTCCATGTAAGTAGACACAGAAACAGCGCTGTACGGATCCAGCACCAGGTTAGCACAGCGCACAATTGTCACGAGCAAAAAGAAGCAGAGGAGGAAGAAAAAGAAAAGGGCAAAACCAAGGTCCACATCCACTTCAAATCCTCTCCAAGGGTTGGCTGGGGGGTCCATGTCAACAAACATATGTTACCCCAAAATATCTTTTTATCTATTAGATCCCAGAGAGAAAGAAAAAAGGACAAAAAAAAGTTTGTTTCTTCTTTTTCCTTCAAACACAGAAACATGCGGTATACGCCAAAGACAGGCGCCCTGTTTGGCACCTGCGGCCTCCTTGAATAGTTAATAAGGAGTTTGGTAACAGACAGGTCATTCCTGTGACTGGAACCCAAATGCGTCTTTTTAGAACACAAAAAAAGAATTTATAAAATATTAAGTCTGCTGTCATTTCTAAGCATATACTAATAAAATAGGAGAAGGGATAACCTGCAAACGTCTCTTTTAATGCTGTGTGCATCTTTTATTAAGCACAGGCAGTTTGCCATATTTCTGAACCAGTTTACACAGCTTCACACACCAGCACAATATCTGAAATTATTGCATGACCAAAATGGTTTTTGAATTTAGGAAATGGAATCACAAGGGAGAAGAAAGGATAAGAGTCAGAGAGAAAGATGATATGATGCTTTTCCTGTAATCTAGTTAAGAGGGGTTGGAAACTGATCCGGACTTTAGTGCAGATTGCTTAACGGAGGTGCAGGTTAAAATTGAGGTATGTTCAAATAAAACAAAAAATAGAATACAAGAATGAGAAGGAGGCCTTTGAAATACAAGTAAATTCAAGTAAATACATTTAGACGCTAAAAGGTAAATGTTATTGGAAAGCATCCATCAGTGTCTTCAAACATTATATTAATCAGTGTTCATCCCAGGTGTCGAAAAACAAGGATAGAGTGATGAAGGTGCAACCTGAACCCTGCAGTTGTCATCAGATCTTCACCGGAATGTTTTAAGAGAAGGAAAGGAAATGCAAATACACGATCAAGTCATAAACAAAATCTCGAGTGGATAGATTGAATGCTCATGGACCATGAAACCACTGATTTGTGGAACTCTGAGGCCAAATATGACACTGATAAATCCTCCTAGCTTGGCTTCATTTAAAGAAGCTTCAGCTCACAGTAATTAATAGGAAATTAGACATCTACAACTATGCACATTTTTTAAACAGATGTATTTTGGATGAAAAACTTCCGTATGCTTTGTTGATGTTTTTTGCCACAGCACAACACTAAGCCAATTAAAGCCATTTACATCCTATTGATGTGTAAAAAAATTCCATGTTGATTTTGTTGGAACTCAATGCTACATTTTATATAGTGGGTTATAATTTTCAGCCAGAGTTCTGATGAAAATTAAAGTCATAAGGAAGTTAATATTTCTTTTATCTTGCATTCTTGTTAAATCCAGAATAGAATTGATTCATCCTTCTCACATATAAAGCCCTAAACAACCAAATTCCCATCTAGCATCAATAACCAGTTGTTCCTTGTTCCTAACAGAACTTCAATCTCAATCTGTAGGTTTACTACTGGTTCACAACTATTTTTAAAGTAGAACTGGAGGAAGGTCCTTTAGTCATCAGACTCCTCATGTAGAACCAACTACCAGTTTAAGTCCGTAAGGCAGACGCCCTGTCTACTAATTTTGACAAATAGTTGCTGGGCGAGTAGGGAAATAGTTGGAGGTAGAGTGTTGTTCATACTTTAACCATTTGTTTTACATGAAATTTTAATGGGAAACATTGATGTTTGCACAAATAAAAGACACAAACCTTTGATTCTTGGCAATATAACAATTTAATATAAAAGACAGAAAAAACAAATATTTCTCTTAAAATTTCATAAACATATACAGAATATTTATATATTTGTGTTTCTAAGAGTGAAGATAAACCTGGATACAGAGCAATCAGTTGCTTTTAGCACAAAAAACGTCAAAGAACAAACACAATCACCAACATGCCATCCTCTGGAAGATCAGAAAACGTGGATTTATCTACACAGTCTGCTATTGCAAGTGTTGAACACAGACCAGGACAAACACTCGACCTTTAATCAACACTTTTAACATCTCACATCGCTCCTCTATGAAAGCTGTCCAAAACAAATCTTGTTTGCAAAAATATCACAAGAGGAAAACAAAAAAAGAAACACTGAGCCAGAAGATATAACCTGTTTGTACATTCTCACATGTAGGTCTACGCGTTTAATTCATGAATACCCTGATCTAACCGTAAAATACCAACGAGTGAGGAGCGACAGATAGGTCAATAAAATACTTAGGAAGCATAATTCAAATCAGAGAATTACAATCACATCACTGCATTTTTAAAATATTAAAAAAATAAAAACTGAGTGGTAAAATGGCTTTAAAAGATACACAATTCCTGTTTGCCACTTATTGCTAATGATTTTTTTCTATACATATACATTTCTTTTACAAATAGAGTAGAAAAAGCTCACAAATACAGTGTAGATGAAGCAAGGCAGATACCCCACAGCCGTTTGATTACTATACTGTGTGCAATGATGGGAGGAAAAAAGAAAAAGCATGTTACCAGCAGAGACTGAATGAAAAGAAAAATGCTGCCATTCATTGTTTAAGTAACTCGATGGGTAAAAAAAAAAAAGAGAAGTTTTATTGGTGAAGCCAACCATGTCTACATTATCTCCACATTAAGCTGCAAAATGTTAAAATATGTTTGATCATGCAAATACATGCAGTGGATTCAGTTCAAATAAACAAAATTATCTAATTAAATGATTAATTATATCCCTGTTATTTCCCAAGATTGTAAAATCGTTGTCTGAAACAATTAGTATACCTGCTAAGGAGTAAAATAGGAAAATATTCTATTGATCCTGAGAAAACACACTGAAATACTACAATAAAAAGGCAATTTTCTGTGTGTACTTATTTAGCCTGTAGGAGAGTGTTTTTTGTTTTGTGCAGTCCATTCAAGTGGTGTTGTGCGATTGTGCGTTTTTAAAATATCTTTATATTCATACATACTGATATCACATGTCTATAACACCGATATGAAGCTTTGGGTAGTGCTAGCTGGAGCAATCTCTTACAATAACTGGAATAATGTGAGACCAATATTAAATTTTTAAGTAAATTTTTTTATTTTCTATTTTATTTATGTGCAGTAAAATATCCCTTCATCTTTAACTGGCTTAACAGCTGAGGTCATAAACAGAAAGGGAAGACTGCCGCTATCTGAGGAAGAGTTCATGAGCAGAGGATGTGAAGATTCACCCAGGGAGAGAAAGAAGGTAAGCGGAGCGCTGCAGACCAGGTCACTCGTTATACGGCGGGTACATGGGAAGCTCAAAGTCTTCACTGTTGAAGTTAGCAGGGTGTTCTAGCATTGACAGCACATCCTAGAAGAGAAGAAATTGAGAGAATGAAACCATTTTAAACGACGGCAGTAGAAAATGCTTGAAATGTGGTAAGTTGGCCATCACTCACAGGAAACATGTCCTGGTTTCCCTGAGCGTGAGGATGCTGCTCTCCGTTATTCTGAGGATGCTGCTGCTGCTGGCTCTGCCACTGAGGCCACACCGTCTCTGCAGCTCGAGATGGGAACTGGGCTCCCGACTGGGATCCATCTAAGACGGAGGACATACTGGTAAGAATGAACAGAGTCAAATACTTCTGCATGAAAACAGCAAATAACCTGGGTTAAGATGTTTAAACTCTTCAGATTAACTGACTTAGCCTGAGTTTTGTAAAGTAACCATTGACTGACCCTAGAACAAAAACTAAACTGAGGGGGATGAAGGAGAGTAGAAATGTGAGGAAGGTGATGGGAAAATAATCAACTTGAGGTTATGTGGAAAACAAAGTCCCCTACATTTAATAGCTTCTGTGTCACACTTGGAGGCAGCAACCACCATCAAGCATTCATAATTAGCAATGAGTCTAATCTATAAAAAACATACTACCTATTGGATTAGCTTCAATTTACCCACATTAGCATGTTCAAGCATCAGTTTTTTCATCTTTTTGAAATCATTAATAGGTAGGGGTTATTCAGATCATTGTCCTGAAATTAAGGTCTTGAACTGATACCAGGTATTATCTTTTGGCATTTTCTCTTACTGAGAAGAATTAATATTCCATAAATTACAGCAAATACATCTGATTAAGCAGGTGAAAATCAACCCCAAGTTGTAGTGTAGTGTATTTGTAGGTGTTGTGCTTTTCCTGCTAGGTTGCTTTCAAAAGCTGTTATCCACTTCTACAACCCACCATAGCCGTTTGTGTTGAGGGTGGCACGGGGATTCATCTGGGAGTAATTTGTGCCGTTTGTAGGGGTGGGAGCAGCACCTGTAGGCATCTGACTGAAGGTGTTAGAAGAGCCACCACCGAACCCAGCTATTGGAGAAAACTGTTGAGACAATGCCTTCGCTGCCTGAGGAGCAACCTGGTGGCAAAGAGGAGTAACACTAAAAGCTTTTCCTGTCACTAATCAAGAATAAATTACTCCAACAAAACGAGGAAGAATAGACCGTTTTAGCTAACCTGGTTATTAAACTGAGGACGGACAGCTGGTGCAGGCCCGGGCCATCCTCCTGGCGGTTCTCCATGTAGGGGACCATTAGTGCTTGATGGGGTAACGGAGGGGGCTCCGTTCTGACGAGACATGTGAGGCAGCATCTGAGCTGCCGAGTGTGCTGGCTGTGTCATCTGGGGTGGAATACCTACTGGTCTACAGAGGGGAAAATTAAGATTTAGAGCACTGGCTTCAATGATGCCTTAAAACTAGAACTGCCAATGCCATCATTTTGACAGTTCTGAGATTTTAAAGGGAAAGAACTTTATTTACATTAATCATTTCGTTCAACGGATTTTTCCTGTTTCTATAAATCATGCATTTTCACATAGTTTCTTTTAAATTTAAAAAGTAAATATGGTTAATTTTACCTCGATCTCCCACAGCTGTCATTTTGACAGCTCTATTAGTTGCATTGCATTGCCTAGCAACCAACATTCTACCTACAACTCTTTGGCTAATACGGAAAAATGGCTTTCAGAAGAAAAAAAAAATCTAACAGCGAAACTGGCTTTAGAAATGCTTAAAAATATTGATGATAGCAATTAGG